CCCCCCCCCGCCCCCGCCCTTAAATGCAACCGCACGCTCGTGAGCATTTGCAGAGTTCAGGACCCCGTAAAGGAGGGAGGGAGAAGGAGGAATCACCCGTGAGCCTCTGGATTGACATGTGGCCATAGCAACATTTCCGTTATTTCCTTTTATTTACAAATCTTTGGTCACCGTGGCCGAGCTCATATTACGAGCTCTCTACGAGATGCAGTGTTTTTCTTTTCTGATTATTACAAAGAAATCATGAAAAGAGGGCGCATGGCTGGCGTAGTCGCAAGAGCGCGTGACTCTTGATCTTGGAGTTGTGAGTTCAAGCCTCACGTCGGGGGTAGAGCTTACCTAAATAAATAAAACTTAAAAAAAGAGGAAAAAAGAAACCATAAACTGAATGCCCCTCACCGGTAATTAGAACAGATCAGAAGCACGTGGGGGCCCCTCTCTCCCGAGTCTCGCTCCCAGAGGACTGTTTTCTGTCTGTCTGCAAAGCCTTTTCGTTGCATTTCGTAAACATGTGTACGACGTTGCGTCTTGTTTTCACTTCATGAGCATTTGCCCCCCCACATCACTAAATCGTGCTGTGAACCCCATTTTTCAGTGGCTGCATCCTGGGTGGGGAGACCCCCGTTGGCTGCTCCGTCCCCTGCTGTTGGGCCTTCTGTGGGGACCCTCCTGGGGAGGGTAGGAAGGGACGGGCTGCACATCGTCACCCATTGCCATCAGGGGGTGGGGGTTCTCCAGTTAAGGGCGCGCAGGTGGGATGGAGCTGGTGCCGCAAGGCCCTTCCCGACACGAGCCCTCGGTTCTTCCCTGCCACAGAGGACTACGGGCACTACGAAGAGCTGCCGGGGGAGCCTGGGGAGCACCTCTTCCCCGAGCACCCTCTGGAGCCCGACAGCTTCTCTGAGGGAGGGCCCCCAGGCCGGCCGAAGCCGGGCGCCGGTGTCCCCGACTTCCTGCCCTCAGCCCAGAGGGCCCTGTACCTGAGGATCCAGCAGAAGCAGCAGGAGGAGGAGGAGAGAGCGAGGAGGCTGGCTGAGAGCAGCAAGCAGGACCGGGAGAATGAGGAAGGCATGTGTCCTCCCCAGGGGCAGGGGCTTCCCCTGACAGGCACAGGCCCCCCAGGCCGCTGTGCCGTGGAGAGGTGGGGAAGGCCTAGCTGGGTTTTGTGTCGGAAAGGAGCTTGTGGCCAGAGAGGACCCCTGCCCAGGGCCGTGGAGCCGGGCTGGAGCCGCTGCATCGCATGTCCCTGAGGAAATTGGAAGTCAGGGCTGCCTTTCTGTATCTTGGGGGTCGAGAGAGAGCCTGATCCCATTGAGGAGGGAGGTGGGCTGGTCCCTGGAGGAGACAGCAGCCAACAGGATTTCCCTTCTGAGCCCTTAGAGAGGAGGCTCACCGCTCTCCTTTGCCTAGACCATGCTCTCAGGAAGTCAGCAGATGACAGCCAGTTGCTGACATAAACCAGTAATAAGCACAGTCCCAGCTGCCAGGTCACTTGGTGCCACACAGCGGATCTGATGGCATCCAGCCCAGGAGGAAATGGGGCGGACAAATGGTGTCTAGAACCAGGAGCTGGAGCCTGGGAGCAGGTGGGGACAGTGGGAAGAGGGGGCCACACCCTCCCTCGGTGGCTCCGGTGTCACCTGCCCAGAAGGTTGGACTTGGGCCAATTTCTGAGTCTGCCCACCTGGCCCCGTCTCTTACCAGCCGGTGACTGGTAACCTTCGCCGGGATATGGTAACGCTTCGAGGGGCCTGGGGGCCAGTGTCTGTGAGCCCCAAGCGCAGAAAGAGCGGAGTCAGTGCTAGGTGCTCCCAGGCGCCCAGGGCAGGGCCTGCCATGCTGGGACCTGAGCCCATGGCAGGTGAGGACGAGGTGTCGGAGCCCCGGGCTGGGATCCTGAGCTCAGTCCTCGCTCTGCCCTCGATCTCAAGGTACCGTCCATGCCTCCGCTTTCTCGTCTGTCAAATGGGCGTGATAGTAACACTGCCTTCTGGGTGGTCATGAGAATTAATAAGATAGAGCACATGGGGAAGGATCCAGAAACAGTAGCCAGTGATCTCCCAGGCTTGGTGCTCAGCCCACCTGAGTTTCGTGGCTGTTCGTAGCAGCCCGCAGAGGGAGGGGTTTTTAGGAAAGGAGAAACTGAGGTTCTGAGAGGTAAGAGGCAGAGGAGCCGTTCACCCAGCGGGCCGCTGTGGGTCTGCGGACTGGTGGCGGTGGCGGTGGCCGCTCATCTTCCTGTACCTCTGTTCTTGCTCAGGTGACACCGGAAACTGGTACTCAAGTGATGAGGATGAGGGCGGGAGCAGCGTCACCTCCATTCTTAAGACCCTGAGACAGCAGACGTCCAGCAGACCCCAGGCTTCCGTCGGGGACCTGAGCAACAGCGGGCTGGGGGATCCCCGCCTCCAGAAAGGACACCCCGCGGGAGGCCGGCTGGCCGACCCTCGCCTCAGCCGGGACCCCAGACTCACCCGCCATGCCGAGGCTTCCAGCGGGTCTGGCCCAGGAGACGTGGGGCCCTCCGACCCTCGGCTGGCTCGCTCCCTGCCCAACCCAAAGCCCGAAGGCGGCCTTCATTCCAGCCCTGCAGGCCCCAGCGGCTCCAAAGGGTCTGGACCACCCCCTGCAGAAGAGGAGGAAGGGGAGCGGGCCCTGCGGGAGAAGGCCATGACCATTCCCCTGGACCCTCTCCCTGGGCCCCCGTTGCGGGACCCACGGTCACAGCTGCAGCAGTTCAGCCACATCAAGAAGGACGTGACCCTGAGCAAGCCGAGCTTCGCCCGCACTGTGCTCTGGAATCCTGAGGACCTGATCCCTCTGCCCATCCCCAAGCAGGACGCGGTGCCCCCCGTCCCCGCAGCCCTGCAGTCCATGCCCACCCTGGATCCCAGGCTGCACCGTGGCGCTGCCACAGGACCTCCCAACCCCCGACAGCGCCTGGGCGCCTCCACAGACCCCGGCGCGTCCAGCTCCAACCTGCCCGACTTCGAGCTCCTCTCTCGCATCCTTAAGACTGTTAATGCCACCGGCCCCTCGGCGGCCCCTGGCTCCAGCGACAAGCCCAGTGACCCCCGGGTGCGGAAGGCACCTACCGACCCTCGGCTCCAGAAACCAGCAGACTCTGCTGCCTCCTCCCGGGCTGCCAAGCCCGGCCCCGCCGAAGCACCCTCTCCAGCCGCCAGCCCCAGCGGGGAGTCCTCCCCACCAGCCACCGCCCCCTATGACCCCCGAGTGCTGGCTGCCGGCGGGCTGGGCCAGGGCAGCGGGAGTGGGCAGAGCAGCGTGCTGAGTGGCATCAGCCTCTATGACCCCAGGACTCCCAACGCAGGTGGCAAAACTGCGGAGCCAGCCGCCGATGCGGGCACCCAGCCCAAAGGCTCTGAGGGCAATGGCAAGAGCTCGGCCGCCAAGGCCAAGGAGCCCCCATTCGTCCGCAAGTCCGCCCTGGAACAGCCTGAGTCCGGGAAGCCCGGTGCAGACGGGGGCACTGCCACAGCCACAGACCGATACAACAGTTACAACCGCCCCCGGCCCAAGGCCTCCGCGGCCCCCACCGCCACACCGGGTGCCCCGCCACCAGAGGGCGCCCCGCCCCAGCCTGGCGTGCACAACCTGCCTGTGCCCACCCTCTTTGGGACTGTGAAACAGACGCCCAAGACGGGCTCTGGAAGCCCATTTGCTGGCAACAGCCCAGCCCGCGAGGGCGAGCAGGACGCGGGGTCCCTGAAAGATGTTTTTAAAGGCTTTGACCCCACTGCCTCCCCCTTTTGCCAGTAGTGTTAAGCTGGAGTCAAGCGCTCCCCGCACCCCACCCTTCCCAGGGCAATATTTAAGGGTAGCAACCAGAGTTGGGAACTTGGGAGGGGGGCTCTGGGTGGTTCCCCCCCCTTTTTTTTCTCTCCCTCCCCTTTTCTCTCTTTCTTTTTTAATAGTACTTTCTTTGCAACGTATAAATTGTATATAACCGTTTTCAGTCAGTTCTGGTCAGTGCTGCGGGGCTCCCAGGCTCCCGCCAAGGAAACCTACTTGTGCACATGAACAGTTGGAAGTCCCCGGGGCCTCAGCCCCAGCGGGCGCTTCCTCTGGCCAGGCTCAGTTATCAGGGACTCTCTGAAGGCTGGAGCCCCAGTCTGGTGGCTGGAGGTCCAGTGGGTTTTCTGGGCAAAGCTGGGCCCCTCCTCCTCCCCACCACCCCCCCCCCCCCCAGCCCACACCCGAGGACAAAGGGAACAGTAGGTGTCAGAAGGCACTGAACGCTGCTCACCCCGTGTGAGCGAGGAGAGATGAAGCCGAGACCGTGGGCAGACCCTGCGTCGAAGCAGGTCCAGGCAATTCTAGAACCCCATCCCCTCTGCAGTGGGCCGGCCCCGACGATCCGCTTCAGGGGCCCGGGGAAGGAAAGAATTTGAAAGAAAGGCAGAGAGCCCTTGGAAGCTGTCTGAGCTGGGAGAGGCACAGCCATTTCTGCTCCCGTCTCCTGTGGATTCGCACACTGGCTTCCCTGCTGCCCTCCGTCCAGAGTTCGTCCTCAGACCTGTGCCCTCCGCCCACATCAGAAGACTCCAGGGTGAGAGACGAACCTGGAGACGGCAGGGCTGGTGTGGGGCGGCATCCCCCAAAAGCTGCCTCCAGGAGGCAGCCTCCGCAGACCGCGTGTTTTCTGTCAGTATTAGCTCTCGTTTTGTCCCGTCGAGGCCACACCGTCCTCCCCTCAGCCCGGGGTCTTTCCTGGTCCCCCGAAGCCAGAGCACCCAGTGTGCCGGCCCCAGCCCCTCTGGGGACAGCTCAAGGATCCGTGGCATGGCCGCTCCGCCAGGCTCCCGACAAGAGCCCCGGGGGGTTCTTGCAAAGTGTTTCTGTTCTCCGCTTGCTTTGAACCTCCTCCCACCGCGTCTGATGTAGGGCCCGTGGTTTTAGTGTGTTTTTCTTCCCAGCTAACAGGTGCAGAGGTATGTCACAGTGTTGGATTTGGGGGGCTTGAGGAAAGGGCAGGAGACTAGCCAGGGCAGGGTGGGGGGCCGCTGGGCCTTCTCTAGGAGTGAACTGGCAGGACCCCCACTTGCAGGTGGAGGGCGTGGAACCAGAAGCCTGCATCCTGCTCCCCTCCTCCGGCTGAGCCGGGATGGGAGCAGAGACATCTGCACTGGACTCCCCGCCCCCCCCCCCCACCTGCCCCAGGCCCCTGGCTGAGGTCCAGCCCCATCCACAGAGCTCCAGAAAAGGCTCACCCTGTGGATGGGACCTGGGGAGGCCGGCCCATGGCTCCGGGGTCCTTCCTACCTGTGCATAAGCAGGTGCTGGCCATCTCTTGCCTTGCTCTTGTCCCATCACCCCAACTGCCTTGCTAAAGGCCCCCATCTCTTTCTTGCTAATAATGAAGAAAACTGGTGATCCAGCCAGAGGGTTCCCCTCCCACCACCTTGGGGTGGGAGGTGAATGAGGCTCCTGTACCAAACCCCTCTCCCCCGGAAGAAAAACTGTCCAGTTTGGGGCCAGAAGCACGGGTGGGAAGAGGCAGCCCGCAGGGTCAGTGCGCCGTGATCAGGTTGGTTTGGTTCGTCTCGGTCTATTTCTTTTTGTGGATTTTAAACAATCATTAGTGAGATTTTTCTTCAGCCACCGGTGTTGGCCTTGAAGCAGAGGGCTGCAGCCCTTGATGTTTGTAAAATAAGTAAAGATACACAGTGTGGCTGTGGGTTTTTTGTTTTTTGGGTTTTTTTCCCTTCTCTCTCTCCCTCCTTTGAGAATTTTCTTTTGTAAAAGCAAAATTAAATACTTTTTTAAAACCGAAATCTGTGGATGAAATAGAAGCTGGAACCCTCCTCTAGGAATATTCAGCCTAAGAACCTCACGGGACTATGAATTCCCCCCAAAATTTTCATTTGCCATCAGGCCAAGCTTTTAAAAACAAAATGTTCTCTAACCAGGATTGTAACAAAAGTGTAAATATTACTTCAGAGTTGAAAGTTGATGGTGCAAATATGTATATAACGTACTGTATTTTTACAATGATCATCGCATGACTGTCCCAGCTCCCTTTTTGTACTCCTTCTCTGTCTTCCAGAAATGTCACCTGCCCTTTCTCCTGTGGTCTCTTAATCCAATAATTGTATTACTGCCATTAAAGGATGCAGTTATTTTAAAAACCCTGCGGTCTCGCCTCTCTGTGCCGCTCCCACCATCCCCCACCCTGGGAATGAGAAAACCTGGATCGGTTCTCGCGGTGGCCAGCCCCCAGGGTTACATTCGTGATGACCTCATGGGATCGGGGCCTCTGAACCGCCTCTGCTTTCCTTAGTGGTTGGCACCTGCCTCCCACGGTTCCTGAACCCCTGCTTTGGGCCAGTCCCTGCATTCAGAGATACAGCGGTGAGCTGCACGGCCCTGCCCCCGTCCAGCCCACGGAAGGGGCCAGTGTGAACTTGCAAGACCCCCGGGCTGGCTCCTGGGGATGCGCCAAAATGGGAGCCCTGACCAGCACAGACTAAATGCGTGCGTCTCCTCACAATTCATATGTTGACACCTGCTTTCCCACCCCCACCCCCACCCAATGCCATGGTATTAGGAGGTGAGGCCTTTGGGAGGTGATGAGGTCAGGAGGGTGGAGCCCTTCCACTGCTTGCTGGTCTAGGCTGCTAAGCTCTAAGTTCATGTCACAACCTCAGGATGCGATCTTTGAATTTCTTCCAATTCATCCATTACTGAGTAAGGTTGATTTCACCTGCAACTCAAAGTTCCCGACTCCCCTTGGCTTCAACAGCCAGGAGTCCAGCATTTCTGGAAGGTCAACAGGGCAGTTCAGGGTTGGTCAGCTTGGAGTGAGTTGTGAATTCACACAGGTCCTGACCGGTTTTCAGACTGTCGGTCACCCCCTTGTGATCGCAAGATGGCTAGAGCGCCTGACAGCCTTCGCCTCAGCCAAGTGTGGGAGCAGGGAAGGAATTCTTCTGTACCTTCTCAGGAGCAAGGGAACAGTTCTGGAAGTCCCTCAGGACCCTCCCTGTCCGGTCTTGTCAGCCAGGATCAGATTGTGCGCCCCGTCCTGTGTTGGTCCCAGGGAAGAGGAGAACAGAAGTCTTGTGTTTAGTCGTTAACAACGACAAAGATCCAGCATCCTGAGGCTGAGCCCACGAGGCTCTGTAAGGTGGGGGGAGGCACAGGGGTTGACAGTTACAGTGACAATACAGCCAGCAGTCAGGCATGGGCACGCACCCATGGTGCATCAGATCCCGTCGGCGACCCTGGGCTCCTGCTGAGGCGACCCACCGGCCTGGGGCAGGGCCCTGCAAGGGGAAGGGAGCTGGTGCCTGGGTCACGTTGGCAGGTCCTGGAGATCCTCGAAGGCCGTGCTGCAGACACAGGGAGAGAATCTGGAGAGTCTGTGTTCAAGTAAGGTAGTGACTGGGTCATGCAGACCGGAGCCTAGAACCTTCTTTCTCGCGGGTGTAGGAAAGGGATTGGCTAGGGCGAGCCTGCTGGGATGACAAAGCAACGGGAACAGGCAGCTGGGGAGCCAATAGACTTGAGACTTGGGGAGGAGATAGGGGTCGGTCACAGTCACACGTGGTGGGTGACCGCGAGGGATCAGAGAAGATGTCTGGTCAGCCCAGTGGAAGGGAGAGATGGCACCTCAGAGGAGGACGTGGTCTGGGAACTGGCCGAAAGCAGCTGTGGTCGCAGGCTGGGGGGCTCCTGCACAGAGCTGGTCAGGAGAGTTGCAGGAACAGGTGGCATCTCCAGAAGTGCATGAAGCCCTGAGTATCACTGTTGGAGGAAGAAATGGAGCCTGAGGACAGAAGTGGCCATTGGGCAGCGGCTGGTGATTGAGGCCAAGAGCTGTGTCAAGAGCCTTCCACTTTCACCCAATTCCTGGGGCATTAGGACCGGCAACCATGCCAGGTTGTCCTCAGGCACCTGACCCCGCCCACGGCCTGGATTCCACAGGTGTGAACATGGTACCATACACGCTTTATCACAGTTCAGCCATCTGCCCATCCCCCTCTCCACCCATCCATCATATTTGGATGCATTTCAAAACAACTTGCAGGGGCGCCTGGGTGGCGCAGTCGGTTAAGCGTCCGACTTCAGCCAGGTCACGATCTTGCGGTCCGGGAGTTCGAGCCCCGCGTCGGG